GGCGGGGCCGGGGGTGCCGTGAGCCGCCGCAGTAGTGCTAACCCCGTTGCACGATGCCGTTCGGCGAACGACTTCTAAGAACTTTCTTTTTGGCACAGCTCGGCGCTGATAAGGGCTGATCCCTCTCACGCTGCGTTTCCGGCCCCAAAGTACACCGAGTCCTCGGTCGAGAGTGTCGAGGGAGGGAGGAAGGAGAGGAGGATGGGGAAAAAAAAAAAAGCGACCAAACAATGGTTTGGTTGAGTGACCAGCACAGCGTGGAGCATGCCGTGTCCCCCAGCGCCTGGTGGGGACCCCCTTGGGTTAGGGACAGGGAGGGAGTGGCTTTGCTGTGAGCATCGCAAGCTCAGAGCAAAATTCAGGTACTTTGCTTGACGAAGCACCTGCAGCCTGGCATCGTGCGCAGGGACGGTGGCCACATGTCGGAGGGGAGCACCAGGGCCGGCGCAGGGTGCGGCGACTCAGCCCATGGGATGCTGAAGCCGCTGCATGAATCACGGCCAGCCAAAATTTTGTCATGCTGTGCTGGCAGCAAGCCCGGCCCAGGGGGACGAGTGTGCCCAGCACACACCGGCGCTGGCTGGGCTTTGCTGAGTTGCACAGGGCAGCTCGCTTGCAGAGTCGCACGCTTGGCTCTGGCCACAGGGATGAGCATGGAGGGGTCGGCTCCATTGCCCAGCACCGGTGCAGGGGGGGTCCCTGGGGTGTTTCGCACCCAGAAGGGTCCCCAGCGCCCAGATGCAGCCCAGTCCTGGTGGCGGCTGGGCAGGCGCCACGTGCTGCAGCCTTGCGGTGGTCAGCGACTCGCTTGCCGGTGCATGGGACGTGCTGGGCAGCAGAGGAACCGAAAGCTGATGGCTTTTCTGGAAGTGTTTGCTCAGCATTTTGTCATGTGCCTGTGTCAGCACCAAGCCGGCCGGGTGGCCGTGGGGAGCTCTCAGCACGCCACCGCCGAGCATGCCACCGACCCCCCCGCACCCATAACCAGGATGCTCCCTGCCTGCACCCCAATTTCCCCATCGGTGTACACAGTCTCCCCGGCACATACTGCCATGCTGGGAACCCCCTTCTCTCTCCTCTCCTCCATCCACCCCTCCGCTGCCGGGTCCTTGGGGGCCACCGAGATGGGTACCTGCTCTAGGCGCTGCTCGGCCCCCCCGGGGTGCCCTGACAGCAGCTAGGCAGTGCCTTGTGGGGTATTTCCTTGCCATGTGGGGTATTTCCCTGCAGAGTGGGGTATTTCCTTGCCAGCTGCCATGCCTCGGGTGGCTCCCGGCAGGCTTGACCCCCATTCCAGCGGAGCAGCAGGACATGGGGCGGTGTTTCGGGGTGCAGGGGTGTTGGGGCTCAGCTCAGCTGCCACACTCTCCTCTGCAGGGCTCCAAGCCGAAGCTGCACGCTGCCTGCTCTGCTGTCCAGGAGGTGCGGAGGTGCACACGCCTCGAGATGCCCGATAACCTCCACACCTTCGTCCTCAAGGTAGGACCCGGCCGAGGGGGTTCACAGCTGGCCCTGTGGCCTTCCCTGCCCTCTGGGGCACACGTGGCTGCTGAACGCTCCCATGCCAAATTTCGGTTCCTCTTCCCAGCCAGGGAGGGGGTGCATGGGGGGGGATGTGGCATTCGGGGTGGGGGATGCTTTGCCCCGACTGGGGTCAGGGTCAGTCCCTGAGTACGGCTGGGTGGGAGGGGGATGCACATCTCTCTCTGATGCCCCCTTGTCCCTCTCTGATGCCCCCCAGGTCACCAACGCCACCGATGTCCTGTTCGAGGTGGGGGACGAGCAGCAGCTCAGCTCCTGGACGGCTGAGATCTGGGAGTGTGCGCACAGGGGGTAAGCACCCGGCGGGTGTCCTGGGAACAGTGACAGCCACTCCATGTCCCCCAGCACCGTGCCAGCCCCCTGCTGCCAGCGCTCAGCCTGGCTTCTCCCATCCCCGGCAGGTCTGACATGGGCGACCCTGAGCTTCTGGCGTGCCGGCACCCTGACCCTGCGGCCGCCAGCCCCACCACCAGCACCGACAGCCAAGGTGAGCAGCAGGAACACCCAGGGGACCCCAGGGGCAGGGCATCCCTCGCTGGGGGGTACCTGCATCCTGCCATGGCTGGCCAGGCTGATCGGGCATCCCCAAATGGCATGGCAGGGGGGCAGAGCCAGAGGGGAGGGGGAGGGGGGAGATGGGCAGGTGTCCCTGCTTCCCCGGGGCACTCATCCCTGTGCCCTGGCAGGGGCTACGCCGGCGGG